CTTTCCAAACAATACAAACCATTCTCTCAAGCTTCAAAGCTTAAACACCAAATTACAAAAAGGCCACAGGTGGGGCATGCTACCCATGGTGGTACATACTGGGCTCCATCCATCATGCAATTGTGGGCCCAAAAGACCTATTGGGCCTCCCATGCATTTTAAGTTAATTTTATAATTTTAGAAATACACAAAATCATTAATTGAATATTTAAATCATTATAAAATCAATATCTCCATCTTTTATAAATCCAAATTTGATAAATAAAATATCCAAATATTTAAAAAAATTCAAATAACAATTCTAAAATAAAATATAATTAAAAAAAAAAAATTAAAACCTTGACGGGAAAATGATCTATATGGTTTAGGAAAATATCTACTAGAGCACTCCATGTCCAACCGCAAACTACGAACCACACATGATTTTTCAAACCGACCTAGTGTTGCCCATGACCCACAGTCTATGCAGGGGATCATTAGTGGGTCATCAAAGTCTAGCCAATGAGCAACTGGTTGCAGTCCCAATACATAGATTTCAAGTTTCCCTTGGAGACAAAACACATGGTCATCTTGACTTGTTGAAATCTATACCTCGATGGTGCATAGGAGGTATCTCTCGCACATGTACAGGTTTCACCCTGAAAGCTGGTATGCTTTCCCAAAATGACTATCGATGTGCATGACGTGTGATGACACAAATGATGAAGTTTTTGCCTCATCCCTGATGGCCTCCATCATACACAAGGATCACACAGTAACTCGAATCACTCATCTGGGCATACTCAAACCTCATCAAGGGATAACCCATATAACCCTCGTTGGTATGATTCTCAAAGCCCATACACCATGGGTTTTTCCCAACCAAATTGATCAAGCACGTCAAACACAGTCTAGTATCAATAAATATTGTTTGCTTATTATGATCCACAAGGGACTACAATCACACTGAGTTCATGGTCCATTATATATATTCATTTTACGAGCTCTCATAAAGCCTTTCATGGCCATACTCACCCAACAAGCTTTCCATTGAGCATTTATTCTCTATTTCTTTTGTCTTTTTTCTTTTGATTCTTCCATTTTTCTAACTTTTAAAAATCATGCCATTTGTTAAAATGATTCAAGTGTACAACATATGGTTGTCAAAGTGGGTCCAATGTTCACGTTTCAATTTATTTTCTCTAAATATGTGACCCTTCTAATGTTATTTTGCTTTGATTACAAAATATACAACAATTTTCCTTTTGCGATTAGATTTGCCAAGGATCAAAGATATTGTTGGGAAAATATAAAAGGAAAAAGAAAATAGTGTAGAAAATAAAAAAAGTAAAATATCAAGATTAAATGGTTTGGCAAATTGTCTACATCAGGAAGCAGAAAATCCTCTTCTAATAATTAGAAAAACAACATACAAATATGAAAAATACAAGGATTTACAACGTCTCTCTCACAAGCCTCAAAGTAAGGTTTTCCTCTCTCTAGAACACCCACCCAAAGGACTATAAGAACTTACTCTTTCTCTTGCATACTAATTTTGTCTCACTGCAATACTACATTTTATAAAGAGGAACCCAAAAGAGACCCACCTTATGCTCTTCGTAATCCTAAAAGATCTAATATCCCATAATAATAGAACGTCCAAAATAATAGAAATTCTGCATAACAAATATATCGTCCCCTAAAATAAGGGAACAAGGAAGAATTCACGTAAATCCTTTCCAACAGCTTCGTGTTAACATTCTCCCACATACATATATATATTTATGTTTTGACTAGTCTACTCCACTACCCGCTAATTACTTATCATCAAGTAATCACAAGCTTAAAGAAGTTCTACACCAAGTGAACATATTTTTCCCAACGGGCTTAGTCAACATACCTACTAGACTGTCATCAATATCAATTTTTTGCAATAAGATTTTTCCATCTTATACCACGTCCCTAACAAAGTGATACTGAACATCAATTGCTTAGCCCTACCGTGAAGGCTCGTCAAGGCACTCTAGTGATTAGAATGAAGCGGTTTTCCAAATATCTAGTTTAGCCAAATTAATGCATAACTCGATGACATATATTCAGTCTCTATGGAAAGCAAAGCCACTACAAACTGCAACCTCGATAACTAACTAACTGTACCAACTCCCGAAGAAAAAACATGTGGACCTTCTTTTATCCAAGTCACCTACAAAATCTACATCAATATAACCAGCAACTTTTAAGTCCATCCCACTGTAACAAATGCCAGTATGACCAGTTTTCTTCAAATACTGAAGGATCCACTTCACCGTGGTCCAATGATCATGGCCAGGATTTACTATATATCTGCTTACAACTCCCACTGCTTATGCAATGTCAAGTCTAGAACTAACCATAATAAACATGAGGCTCTCTACTGCCTATGAATACAATACCCGAGACATGTACGTCTTCTCTGGTTCAAAGCTAAGACATTGTTTCGAAAGTAACTTCATATGTATAGGAAATGGGGTAACAACTAGTTTGCTATTAACATAATATTTGACTAACATATGCATCTTTGTCGTTCACGTTCTTTCCCTCTTCCAAATTATGGACACAACCCATTTCATATGCAATTATTTGACAAGCTTTCCTTAATATTTCTTAGTACGGATCAAATGATAATGCTCCCAATCTATCCTCTAGGCATAGGGATAGGGGCATTAAGGTTCGAATCACAACCACTCCTAACCAAGACAGTCCAGATAAATGTTAAAACCCCCTCTGTTTATGTTATGTCAAGTCTGGAGCTAACCATAGTAAGCATGAGACTCTCTACTGCTTATGAATACAAACTCAAAGCATGTATGTCTTCTCTGATTTGGCACTAAGGCATTGTTTGAAGGCAACTTCATATGTACAAGAAATGGGGTACTAACAAGTTTGTGAATAACATAATATTTATTGATTGTCATAGACATCTTGTCCTCCATGTTCTAACGCTCTTCCAAATTATGGTCACAGTCTCTTTCATATGCAATTCTTTGACAAGCTTTCCTTAACATGTCTTAGTACGGATCAAATGATAATGCTCCCGATCTATCCTTTAGTTATAGGAATAGGGACAGTAAGGTTTCAAATCACAACTTCGGACCAAGAGTGTCAAGATAAATGGATTAGATTGTGACGAGAGAGAGACCTTAACTGTAACTTCGTGACTAATTTGACCATATATTTCTTTAATCTCGAGGACTATATCATTCTTTCACAACAAAGTAAAACTCCCACTGCTTATGCTATGTTAAGTCTGGAGATAACCATAGTAAATATAAAGCTTTCTACTATTTATGAATATAATACTCAAGACATGTATGTCTTCTCTGGTTTGGTGCTAAGACATTGTTTCGAAGACAACTTCATAACTACAGGGCTAGCAACTAGTTTGTGAATAACATAATGTTTTATTGACTGTCATATGCATCTTTGTCCTCCATGTTCTTCCCCTCTTCCGAATTATGGACACAGTCCCTTTCATATACAATTTTGACAAGCTTTCTTTAACATTTCTTAGTACAGATCAAATGAAAACGCTCCCAATCTATTAGGGGCATTAAGGTCTCGAATCACACCCACTTCGGACTAAGAGTGTCAAGATAAATGGATTAGACCATGAAGAGAGAGAGAGAGAGAGGCCTTGACTGTAACTATGTGACTTTTTTTACCATATATTTCATTAATCTTGAGGGACTACATCATACTTTCATAACAAAGTAAAACTCCCACTGCTTCTTGAGGGACTACATCATACTTTCATAACAAAGTAAAACTCCCACCGCTTATCCTATGTTGAGTCTGGAGCTAACCATAGTAAACGTGAGGCCCTTTGTTGCTTATGAATACAATACTCGAGACACGTATGTTTTATGTGGTTCGGTTCTAAGATATTGTTTCGAAGGCAACTTTATATATATATAAGAAATAGGGTAACAACTAATTTGTGAATAACATAATATTTATTGACTTGTCATGTACATCTTTGTCCTCTTCAAGTTCTTCCCCGCTTCCAAATTATTGACACCGTCCCTTTCGTATGCAATTCTTTGACAATCTTTCCACGGATCCCTCGCAATCTGTCTTCTAGATATAGGGATAGTAAGGTTTCGAATTACAACCACTCCTGACTAGGACTGTCAAAGATAAATGGATTAGACCATGACTAGAGAGAGAGAAAGAGACCTTGACCGTGACAGTTTGGACCATTTATTTTTTTAACCTTGAGCAATACATCATACTTTCTTTCATCACGAAGTAAAACTCCCAATGAAATGAACATCATACATTCACAACAAAGTAAAATTTTCAATGATAGGAATTGTTTTGTGCTTTTATTTTTCGTTTGGATATGAAGAAAAGAAAACAATTTTAAATTCTAAAAATAGTACATCTTGTAATAAATTATTTTAACCCTCTATTTTTAAATTTTTACGTATTTATAAATATGTTCGATCAATACTACTATTAAATTTCACAACGAAAATAGATTTTCAAGCCATGATTAGCCTTTCGAAACAGGAACTACATCTTAAGGTAAAATTTAAAGGTGTGTTTTACTTTTGTAGTATTTTTTATAGTATAACGAGGGTGCTTTACGTAAGGGAAAATTTCATATAGAAGCCTAATTCCTCATATTATTTCATGGTAGACCATCTTTCTGTTTTTTTTTTCAAGCGGCATAAAGAAACCCCTAAAGATTTCACCGTACTCCCTCATCTCTTATCTCCCTCTTTAGGGGTGCCAAGAAATCTTTAGGGGTTTCCTTTTGCCGCTTGAAAGAAAAACAGAACGAGGGTCTACCATGAAATAATATGAAGAATTAGGGTTCTATATGAAAATTTTCCATTAAATAAACCTCACCTTTCATTTTCTAATCTTGACGAATTAAACCAGTGAAATCAAATATTTGGAATGTGACTGAAGCTCATGTTTTATTTTATAAAAACATGTTACCAAGTTAACTACTAAATTCCCTTTCCCTTTCATAGGACATGTTCATCGCGGGCACAGATACTACCTCAGCCACAGTTGAATGGGCAATGGCAGAGCTACTGAACCATCCCTATGTCATGGAAGAGGCTAGAGATGAGCTCCGCAGAGTAATAGGTAAAGATAAAATGATGGAAGAGTCACATATTCCCGACGTCCCCTTCTTACAGGCAATAGTGAAGGAAGTTTTACGCCTACACCCAGCTGCTCCTCTTCTAATTCCTCGTCTCTGCGATTCAGATTGCCAAATCGATGGTCATATCATTGAAAAGAACACAGAGGTTCTAGTGAATGTGTGGGCTATAGGACGAGATCCTAAGGTGTGGTCTGACCCCTTGAAGTTTGATCCTAGTAGGTTTGTGGGAACCAATTTGGAATTCAAGGGAAATGATTATGAGTTGTTGCCCTTTGGGGCAGGTAGGAGGATATGCATTGGGATGCCTTTGGCCAGTTCAATGGTGCATCTTGTTTTGGGATCATTGCTTCATTATTTCAATTGGAAAGTTGAGGGAGAAGTGGATATGACCGAAGAGTTCGGTATTACTCTTCAAAAGGCATTACCTTTGGTTGTTGTTGCCACCCCATCTTTGCCTTTAAACCCCTATCTTTAAGAAGGGAATTTAAACAGAGGATTCATCCTGTTGGGTGAATAAGATGTGTCCCTTCGTATTTGCAATGTTACAGCCATTTCTCCCTCTTTTTCTCTGTCTCTATCTCTTACCTAGGGAAAATAAGTTTGTCTAACCTTGTGTAATATGCATGCTTATATATTTATTGTTATCTTTGTTGGGTGACTAACATGCATCCCTTTTGTTAATGTCTGCAATGTTGCATCCCTTTCTAATGTCCGCAATGTTGCATCTCATTCTCCCTCTCCCTCTCTATCTCTATCTCTGTCTCTAATCTAGGGACAAGAAGCATATCTTCATACAAGGAGTCACTATTATTTTGAAATCAGGTGGTTGAAGATATGTCACTATTTAGACACAAAGTCTAAAGCAAAATTGTTCGAATGTTGTTACATACTTTTATTTAATAGATTTGAC